CTGCTGAAAATGGAGAGCATCCCAAGGGAAAAATGGAAAACGGAACAGACAGCGTGGCTGCCCCTGCCCTTAGTACCTACACCCCAGAGGAGATGGTACAACAGATGAAAGAACTAATCACTGAGAACAATGAATTAAAAGGTGAAGGCTCATGTGCACTGGTCTTGAAACGCAAAAGCCTTGAGCTTCTTCTGTGGGTGTTATTTTTGTCCTATGAGTATGAATTCTGTGCTCATTTGCCCTTGCTGGATAACATTTTCTACCTGGGTAGCATTTGCTGTATAAACAACTCTGTAAATGGCAAGGCTGATTGATAGGGCACATCAAATTGAATCAGTATGGAAGATTAGGAGAACACCCCAATGTATGGGTGACTGACTTGCTTTAGAATTATATATATAAGCAGTATAGCACTGTCTATTTTAGGAGGCGAGGAGAAAAATCTCTTGCTATGATACGCTCTTTGCTCATCAACCTCTAAAAGCTTTTTTGGTTTATATTTTAGGACTGTTGGGCAGCTCCATTGCAGACAGACTAATACTTTGCCATAGCTGTGTCAGGAGGGCTGGGTACTGTGCAGTGCCCAGAAGAGTCTGGGTTAGGATGCTGTCTGAAAGGGCCTGCATCCTCTCAGGCAGAGCAGGCTCACCTGCACTGTGTCGTACCTTCTGTTCTTCAAAAGGAACTGGTGGCCATGGCAGGGTCTATCTGGGAGAAAACAATAGGTTTCCTTGAAAATGGCTGATAATTTGAGTCTTTCAGGTGCGATAGATTTGTTTCTGGATCCCAGGAGTTTAGGTGTCACGTATGAATATTTTTGTTTTAAATGGATAGAGCTCAAGGGATCTGGGAATTTTCCGTGTAAGAGACAGAGGTACCTCACTGTTTATATGGCAGCAAAGCATAAAGTCACATGTCTTGTGTGTTGTGTTTTTACGCTAGTGTTTAAATTCCACCTGAATCATTTTTGGACCTGGTCCATGTTCTTTGCCTTAGAGTCCCATGGGTATCTGGCAGGAGAGTTGTTTCTAGAGCTGTCTCTGGTATTTTGCTAAAAGGTCCTGTATCGTATGAGATAATGCTTTGGGACTATATTTACAGCTGCTGTAACTCATGCTTTGCAGAATCATTCTCCTGAGCTACACTTATTTATATAACCTGAAGGATTTGTTGGCAGTGTATAATATGACATTAGGACATAATGGAAGTTAGTGGAAAATACAGTGTATAAAAGATTTTCACATAACTGGCTTTGAGTTTATTGCCTTAAAAAAAGCAAGTCTAAAATACTTGCATTGACTCTTCCTAAGAATTTTGTAAGCATTTTGCAGTTCTGACTTTGTTCCCAGCCAGGGATAACTGACTTTGCTGTAAGCTGTTTGGTATATTTTTTACCTTAACCAAATAGTATCTTAACCAAATGTTCAAGCAGAGCATTGTTTGTATTTGAGCCACTTGATTTGATAGCATCTGTTCCCATGCAGTAATTTACCAGTCTAGGATGTCTGCTATCCCTTCCAAGTCTCAGTCGTTTCAGAATCTCAGTTCAGTAGTTTCATTTGGGTTGATCATATAAATGACCAAGTTCCTCTTGTGAATAATACTGCTTCGTTTAGGAATAAGTCAAGAAGGGAGACAATTCTGGGCTTGTGATTTCAGCAGTGAATTTAATGCTACTAATCATAGTGCTAATAGAATAGGAAAAGTTTAATTCTGGTTTGGCATTTAAGGTACACAAGGAGGAGGTTTGCATTTCATACCAGATTATTGCTAACCCATTTGGTACTGAGCTCAGTGTGGTGGAAATCTGCTGTTTCATTGACAGAGGATTAATGTGAATCCATGTCTTGTCTCTGGGTATCTTTTAGAAGCCATGAAGTTGCATAACCAAGCTATGAAGGACCGGTATGAGGAGCTTTCTGTCTGGCGAGAGAAGCAGAAAGAAGAAAGAGAATTTTTCGAGTTGAAGTTTAAGGAGGCTAAGCAGTGCTTGCTGGCCAAGTGCATTGAAAACGAACAGCTACAGCAACAGCTTCAGAGCTTAAAGGAAAAAGAAGAAGGAGCTGCAATGGTAAATAAGGAATTGGTCGGATTGACACGCTTTTGAATTGAAAGTCTGGAGTGTTCAGGCCCTGCATCACACTGGGAGGTCTGGAGATTTGTTAATGTCTCCACTTTTATCCTGATGCTCTAACAAGAGGTCTTGGCCTGACTTAGAAAGTGGGGCTTCTCAGACTGGTGTAACAGAAAGTTGTGCCACACCTGAGACAATTTACATTTCCATGAGCATTTACAATAATAATTAACATTCTTGACAGAAAAAATAAGAAACTAACATTTCTTGCTAACTTTTCTTTCTTTATTTTGTTTTCTTTTGGGTATCTCTTGATTTTTATCCCTCCTTTTGCTCATTAGATTATCCATCTCTCATGATTGTTTAATTACTTTTATATTTGTGTTTCCAGGAAGAACTTTAAGAAAAAAAAAGATAATAATGACCTTCCTTCTATTTTTATTACATTATTCTACTCTCACGAAAGCTCTTTTGCTGAGATCAGGTTACATCCGTACTTCTGCTGCCCCATTTGATTCTGAGCTTTCTCCCTCTGCCTTACCTTTGGCTCTGTAACACATTGTTTCTAATGTTGCAGGTAATTCTTTAGTAGCCAGGCAACATTTTTCTGGTAGTACAGAAGATATCTATGGACAAAGCCTATTAAACCAAAACCTGCTTTGTGTCCCACATGGTCACGTGAAGAGGTGTTTAACAAGTTTCATGCAGAGCCAAACTGAGGTATTCTTGCATCTGGTACCTTCAAAACCCATGTGATTTCTCTGTTGCCTGATGAAGGATGAGTGTATTAGCCTTTTTGTCAATGGAGGCACTAGTAGATTCTCCTTTCCTCTCCTGACTGCCTATTTTATGGAACTCTGTAGGAATGTTTTCAGCATGTAAATCAAAACTGGCCAGTGAGTTCAGAAGTTACAAGGAGGAAGAAAGTCATGTATAAATAGTGTGGTTGTGTAAATATTACACAATCTTTTTTTCATAGGCTAAAAGTTGTGTTTCAGGATTGTCAAGGAAACTCAGAATTTCATAAATCTGGAATAGTTTTAAGAGGAAATAGAGGATTTATTCTGCCTTTACCTGTTTTAGAACTTCTTGTACTTTAAATGCTTAAAGCATGTTACTAACATAGTGGTCCGACCTGCTTGAGTAATCCAACGTCCAGAAAAGTAAAAATAAATCTCTTTTAACGATCTCATTCCAAGAGCTTCACAGGATAAACACTGGTTCTTCTATGATTCTTTGCAGCTCTACCAGACAATGGTAGCTGTAATTTAAACAGCAACATTTTCATTTCTGATTGTGATTTTCAGGCTGACAGTGTCATTTAAGCCCAAAATTACTTTCTCTCTTGAATGCCTTAGTTTTACTTTCTTTTTTTATTATTTAGAAAGAGCGTAGAAAACATCCTCCCACAGGAAGACATTTTAAATTACTCTGATTTCTCTACCTCTGTGGTTTATTGTTAGCTGAGATAGTCTATAGTCCATTGCTACCAATAAGTGACATGCCTATCTCACTCAAAGTAAATTACAGAATGTAATTCAGACTCCAGGAATTGTCCAGAATTTACATTGATGGTACATGGTGTAATAAAGGCATTACAAGGAAGTGGAAGGTTCAGGTTACAAAATGAGGAAGAAATAAACTCACAGGGAAAGTTTTATGGTAGGGAGAGGTATTTAAAGGAGAGGGGGAAAAAATGAAACTTCCTGGTTATGCAGAGGCTTAAGAGAGAGTTTTGAGGATCCTGGGGAAAGGGAAGAGGCAAAAGGTGAAGAAGACAGTCATGGCTGGAAGAAGAGATTAGGTTTGGGGAGATTTTCTGAGGAACTTTGTGGAAGAGGCTTTGTGGAAGCAACAGAAGACTGTGTGGGAAGGTCAGGGATACAGGGAGAGATTTACATGTGGAGGTGGGCTACAGAGAAGCTGTGTGGTGGGGAAGGGCTGAAAGTGGGGTATGTGAACCTCTCTGCCCACTGGTCTTTTCTCCCTAGAATCTTAGGTAGATTTGGGAAAAGAGGAATTAGGATACGGGTGGAAAAATACAGTAACTCTGGACAACAATTCTGTAGGTTGGCTGAGATCCTACATGGTAGTGAGAGGCATAAATTCAGCAAAGGTTTACATCCTAATTATCTGTGCATTCAGAGAACCAGGCCTATGTTTTCCAGAAGTATGATGCTCATCATTGGATTAACTTGGTTTCACAGTTCAGACTTCTTGCTGTCTAGTGGACCAAAACATAGGGATCTGGACAGTGGGCTTTTCCAGGCAAACCTAAACAGAGAAGGGATGCAGGACACCCTTGTTCAGGCTCTGTGCTCCTCAGCTGGTGTTCCCTTTCGGTTGGCTAATGCAGGGTTTGTTTGTCCCAGGAGGGCTGCACGGCTCTCGAGAAGGAAGCAAGTCAGCTGAAGTCCCAGTTGCAGCGGCTCCAGGCTGAGAAGGCAGATCTTCTGGCTATCATTTCAGAACTGCATATCAAGCTGAACGTGGCCTCAGCAGAGGATTCCTTTGTGGAGATTGCAATGAATGTAAGTGAAGGGAGGAAAAAGAACACAGTGAGAGAAATGGAACACACAGACAGAAACTTTGGTTCCAGTTTGGTTCCAGCTTGGCCCTCCTTTTTCTGCAAACTTAACCTTCTTCTCATACCCATCTAAAGGATGAGGAAGTTAGGTACTTACAGTGACGAGGTTTGCTTAATGGAATTCTACAGTGAGGAATTTAGCACCCTGTCTTCCTTTAATGGAAAGAGTAAATCTGCACCCATGTCAATGAAAAGTCTTTATGCCTTTTTGAGAGGGAACAGGAAACTTCCAGCAACAGCAGTAACACAAGATACAGACCTGGTGGATTTAAGAGAAGAGTTGCGTGGTTGGACTCCATGATCTTACAGGTCTTTTCCAGCCTATATGATTTTATGGTCTCTTACATTACCTGGCATGGAGAACTTTAGTCTTACAAGATGTAGTGCTGAAGGTCTTGGAGTTTACTTTTTGGCCTTCCACTTTCATGTTCAAAGTAAATTAATTTCATAGCCTAAAATATTCCCTGGAAAAATGAACATGGTCCAGCAGGTGACTTTGGACTAATTAAAAATGTTAAGACTTTATCTTAATTGGCATTCCTTAGAACATTGGTACTATGTTTTGTTAAGAGGCAATACCTATGCATAGAGGAGGGTTTCTACTGACAGATATGGAGAGATGCAGGCAAACAAAACCAAGTGCAAGATCTACTTTTTTTCTGCTGTTCTTGTATCTGAAAAATCTTCACAGGCAAAATGTGAAATGTGAAAAGTGGGTCTCTGCTGTGCCTGTAATAGCAGATCCCTCTCTGGGAAGTACAAATGCAACAAGAAAGTAAGATTTAATTAAAACTTGTTTGGAGCTGTCAAAGAAAACTTCAGCCTGCAGGAAGCCTTCAAGGATGCATTCTCCTTTTTTTGCAACAAAGATTCTCCTTAGGTCTACAAAGATCAAGGAGTGGGTTTTGTAGCTGGAAAGAAGAGTGGCTCTTTTGGAGGCAGGAGAGTGGGTTTTAGGCTTATATTTAAAGTCGCCTGCAGTGATGTTGGCTGTTGCTGTGTGGGGAGAGTGGCCATGGAAGTTGCTGAAGAAAGGAGAAAGCCAAATCCCATTGTTGTTTCTCCTCCCTGATCAGTCTGAAGAGATACAGGGAAAGGCATGTGAAGTATTTAAGTTAAGAATCTCCAAACATGAAACTGATGCGTAGGAGTTTTGTCTTTTTATTTCTTTTTATTACCATGATAGCTGTTTTCCCAGGTTTTTTCCTTTCTTCACTCAATAAAGCAGTGTCCTGCTTAGTCCAAATACCAAGCTAATAGTGGGTTTGGTTTTTTCCCTAGGAAGGAGAAATGAAAAGAACTGCAAAGGAGCATCAAGAGAATAGCGGTGAAATGACCAGTAATGTTGCTGTCTACATGTACGTAGCGTCTTGTGTGATTCAGACTCCTGCAGTGTGTTTTGTTTTCACTGTGAGGGAACTTTTTTCTATGAGGAATGCACTAGAAAGTCCTTTTTCCCTGTGGCCTTGCTTCCCTCCATTGCAGTAGCTCTACCTCCCTACCATGTCAGGAAGCCCCCTGACATTTTTCCTTCCAGTTTTCAGCAGCTGACAAGAGGGAGTATATATTCTGGCCGGTTGGCCACTTTTATGTATGGGTTGGCTTGCCAACTTCTCAGGCTTTTAAAAGCCAGACAGGAAGCCAAACAAACAAGATAAAGATAGAGGCTGCAGAGACTCCCTCCCTCTAGTCATTGGAGAACATCTAATAGAGTATCTGTCCTCTGTCCAATTATAATGATGTTGGTAAGAATCATTGTTGCCTGTCAGCTCTGAACACGTCCTGTTTCTGTGTGGTTGGTATAAAGTGCATCACGGTGGGTGGACAGGCAGTGCAAGAACATAGTCTCTATTTTTCAGGTTACTGGGCTTAAGATACCAGCATTCTGGTTAGGTTACTTCTCAAAATTTGATCTTTACATAACCTCCACCGCACAAGGGACTTTCTTGCCCCTGGTTGAACCTTTGTCCTTCTCATGGTCACAGACAGCTGATACTATTTAACTTTCCATTTTGGATACCGCCCAATTTAGTAGCTACATGGTTGTGGCTGAACTCTCTTACTTTGTGGCCTTTGCTTTTGGAAGGAAAGGATGTAGAAAATGCCAAGGGCATAGCAGGCCAGAACACTGTGCTCCATGTACAGGTTATCCCTACATCACTGCAAGGGAGAATGGCCTTTTATTGTGATGATATAGAAAACTTGTCCCTCAGATTGCATTTAAGTTGAAGGTGAGAGGGGGGTGTCATCGTTGAAACTGAGGCAGTTGCTGACCACAGACCAGGCTGCAAGTATTAAGCTTGTCCTTAGCAGTGACTTGTGAGAACATTCTGATTACGAGAAGACATTCTCTGTGGAACTTGCTTACCTTTTGATGAGCATCTGGGCCATATCTACAAGAACAGGGGGTATATGTACCTCTTAAAATGTTTCCTGTGTCACCACGTGTCTTTGTCCAGCATTGAAACTTTACACTGGTGCTGTTAACAGGTTCAAAGAAATGTGATCCACTCAGGACGGGTTTATTTCTGTAAGAGTAGAACTGTGCACTAAAAATCCCCTGATAAAAGTTACTTACTTATAATATCCTGGCTGAACACTGACTTTGGGGTATTGAATTTTGCTCAGCAAAGATTTCTAGCTGTCAGGAGCACGCCGAAGACACTGTTTTACTTTATGTTCCCAAGTACAAAAGCGAAGCTTTAAACACATGCTAGTTTACAGCAGAGCTTCTGAAGCTTACAGAGTATGTAACATGCTGATCTTACCACACAGTTAGGAGATTTTGACCTTCTGTCTAGATGGACATAAAAATGGAGGGAATGAAATGCAGTATTTTATCATCAGAAAATTAACTTACCTTATTTTTCAGCTAGTTTTGTATTTCTTTTGGTTCACTTCTACAATAGCATGATGCAATTTTGAGAAGAACTCTAGAATATGAGGGAGGTGAAACATTGAAAGGATTTTTTTCTGAAAAAGAAAGCAATTTCTGATGACCATTTTTAGCAGAACGTGCTTTCTTTTCCTGGAAAGGAATGAGACAGAGATAAGAAATGTTTCATGTTTCATTGGGGGAAAATAATGTTCTTTTGGGAACAGGCAGCAGCACTTTGCAGGAGGGGCTGCAGAGTAGGTCAGAAGAAATGCACTGGGGTTTGTATTGTTTTGACTGCTTTTGTTTGCTTTGCTGAAGTACTAGATTGTTCCCCAGCTTGAAGGGGACTGTCTGAGCACTGCACAAAGCCAGGATTGCATTTGCACACACAGGGACTGTGATTTGCAGTCTTGGTTCTTGGGAATGAGCCCTTCGCTTAGAATGTTGGTTTTCAACACTCTGAAATGGTGGCCTCAGATTGGATCCCACAGTTAGGCATAAGGGAGTGTTCTAGTAAAATCATACCTGTGGTTATTTACATCTGGTTTGGTTTAAAGCAGGAGCAAACCTGCAGATGAATCTAAGAATTTGGAGTCTGAAGAGCTAACTGTGAGCCAGCTGCTCTGCTGCCTTAGAAATGAAACTCAGAAGAGGGAAAAACTTGAGAAGGACCTGCAGGATCACAAGGAGAGGTATGAAGTAGGTGCACTGTAACATTTGGAGCTATTTTCTTTCAGGGCTGCTGCAGTTATCATGTCTGTGGCTGATCCAGAGACAAGGTGAAATGTCAGTGTGACCTCGATGGGGAATTCCCTGAGCACTCAGTAGTAATAGCTTATTTTTGTGGTAGTCCTTATAGGGATAAACCACAGGTCCTCTTCCATGGGCAAAAGAGTTTCCATGATTTATTATTACCAATTTCATCTTGGGTTCAAACTTTCCCCAGGTTATGTCAGAGTGGTATGATGAGTAGTTGAGGACATTCTCCCCGCTCCCTCCTCCATAGTTACTTGGGTTTGTATGAGTCATCTGCGTGTGGGGCCTTAAGCAAATCACTATGTATAAAGCAGGGATCACAGTCCTCTTCGTGATGCTGGCAGGCTACATTTAGAAATGTGTGAGCTTGCAAAAGCTCCTTGGAAATGTCTAAAAGAAGATTAATTCCAAACTTGTCTAAACGAGAGCTTTTCCAGTGAGACCTGTATGAGGGTCTGTCCCAGCCTAGTTATACTGGTATAAATTGTTATGACTGTTCAGGTGTGGAAAATTGCCTGAGCAGTAGCTTTGCAGAGACAGACTTCATAGTGGACATTATCTACTAGGAAAAGTTGGTGTCACAGTAATTGCTTCTGCGTGGTCTTCCTAGAAGAGGAAATGAGCCACAGCCAAATGGTTCTTAGACATCTCAGCGTCTGAAAATATCTAAGGAAAATAGAGACAATATTAATCACTGGATTCAGTGAACAAACTGACCCATTTCTAAAGGTTTAGTGGGTTTGGACTCTACCAAAGAGAGACCACTCTACCAAAGAGAGACCACTGTGGACTGAATGTCACTGTTCTTCACCTCACCTGCAGACTTACACTTAAATATACATGCTGGTGTCCTGTGTTCTTCAGGAACCCCCATGATTTTGCAGGCTTTCCTGTATGTCTGTGCATTCAATTCTGCCTCTCATTTGTGGCTGTGATACTATAAAGAGAGTTTCACTTGCGTGAAATCCTCAAATAGCCACAGTCTCACTTTAAATAAAGGCCAAATCTATGATTATCTGCTCCTTCTGTTTTCCAGACTGTCAAAGCTGGAGAAGGCAAGCAGCAACTGCCTGGAGAGTGGGACACAAACTGAACAGGAAGAGGAGAGTTCAGAGGCTGTAAGTACCTGTCCTGAGCTGAGGTGTAACACCATACAGCTTACTTGTTGAGGCCAGCAATCTCAGGGCCTAGATTTTTACTTGCACTCGGGGAGCAAGGGGAAATTACTCTGCAGAGGGTATGGAATTGCATTTTGAACTTTCCAATCCATATCTTGGAGGTGGTTCCAGACTACACCAGCCACCAAGAAGAGGTGAGATTGGTGGCCAAGAGTTGGGGAGGCATGGCGTAACTGCAGGTATACCTCACTGTCCTGGCCATACTCACTAAACAGAGAGAGATGCTGTTATTTCTAGCTCCAGAAAGTCTTCTAGACTGGCTGAATTCCTCGCGGCTGAGCAGGCCAGCTTTTCGATCAGAGTCCAGTGACAGCTTACTGTACAATAGACCTCAGATGTGGAGCTTATATCGCACCTGGTTTGGTTTGGTGTTTTTTCATGGCTTTGGTGGGATGTGTTACAATGGTGGGGGATAACTATCTTGGATTGAGAAGCAGTTCCAGGGAAACTCAGTCCTCGTGTCTTCACTTAAGGGTTTGGGTGGATGTTAGGCTTGGATTCAGCTCAAGCACAAACACCTAAATTTACATGCCTACAGTTGTAAGCCTGTCTGTGTGAGGGAAGCATGTAAGCCCCCATAGCAGTGGACATCATTAAGGTTCAGTGTAACTGCATAATACAGGCAACTAAGAGTGCCTGTATATGAGGTCGTGTGGATGTTCTGAGGTGCATGGAGCCAGTAAATACCTTATGGGATCTGCTGGAGACCTTCACCTTTCTGAAGGCCAGGTCAAGTATTTAGGACAAGGCTGGCTTCGTTAAACAAGGCCAGTTTGCAGTCAGGCCAAGAGACAGCCTTTCTAGGGAAAGCAGATGATGTCTCAGTTAATTCTTTCCAGTATTTTTATCTCAACTTTGCCTGAGTTCCAGCTTGAGCCAGATGCTCCTCATCTAAGCACTGATATTGAGGTCAGCACAGTGACATGCTTGGATGACAGTCACTTCCATTTATATGCTGTTGGGTTTCCTTACAGGGCTCGTGCCAGTGGGGCTCATGTTACCTGGCCCTATTGTGAAATGTAGATCTTCAATGAAACAATGTGGGGGTGCAATGTGGACCCTTTTTGATGGCTCTGCACTTGAAGACATCCTGGGAGAAAGGGAAAAGTTCTTCAAACCTGCTTTGGCTCTGTTTAGAGGAGTGGCTGGGGGAGAAGAGGCTAGAGCATGTCCTGTGCCAGACAGCAGCTGGACACTAACCTCAGCCAGCTCTTCCAAGAGGAGTCATCTTAAAGCAGCTACTGCTCTGCCTTCCCTGAGGCTGCCTGTGAGCTTCCCAGAAGCAGAGATCCAGGAGGCTGTGATTCAGGTGTTGCTCCTTGACTGGGCAGGGTAAGAAATAGGTGTTGGGGAGAGATAGGCTATACTGTAGGGTGGGATTTTTTGAGTCAGGTTAGCCTTTTCAGCAAGGCTGCCACACTTGCTTCCCAGAAGCATGGATCAATTATGTTCCAAGTAAGTAAAATACCTTGAATTGTGATGGCTTTCACCAGAGACCAAGAATTCACAGTCCAGCTTTATTAGAAGTCAGACTCTTGCCAGTGATACATGGTTTCATTTGTTGAAACGTTTTCTGTTAAGGCAATTTCTACTGATGTCTAGTTTTCTGCAACTTGAAATGTCATCATCTTACAAATATCAGTACTTTCATCTGTGAGTGTGATTTCAGTAGCTGGATTGCTGCATGCAGCCATGATGGTAGAACAATCTCTTTTTGCTTCTGAGATAGAAAAAGCTTAGTGCAATGTGCTCTGTGAGTGTTCACCTGTTATGTTCAGAGGCTGGTGATTGATACTAGTTTGGGCAGCTTGTGGAAGGTGTCCTTAACAACATCTGTCAGTAGACAGCTGTGCTCTGTCTGCATCTCAGGCACACTGGCTGTGATCCAGACTTCTGCTCTGAGATGAAAGCTGAAGGTCATCATAGATGAACAACTTCTATTGCTTCAGTTGCTAGGGAAGTGGTGGACTTCCCCTGTTAGAAAGCTGGAGCTTTTCTTCAAGGAAATAGGACAGCAGCATGCTTTGACACACCTGGGATCTTCTTAGCTACAGCCAACCAGCTCATTCCCATACTGAACTGGAGACTCTCCATGCATTTGATGTGATAAGACATTATCAATGAAAATTACAATACTAAGGATAACTAAAGTGATGCTAGTGTGATGCTGAGAGTGAGAAGTTTCTTTAGGAAAGCTCAGGATATATCTCCAGAGGCTCCAAACCAGCAGGAGTTGAAGGTTTCACACCTTCTGCAGTGTGGGCTTATATTTTAAGAATTAAAACTGTGAGGTGTCCTTTGAGCCTTGGGTTGGAGGAGAATCCAGCTTCTGTTTCTTTCCTCCTCTTGTTTTCTGCCTGTCTTCAGTAACATTCTTGTGGTCTGAAGGCCAAATGAAAAGGCCAGAAACTCGCAACAAAACTGATTACAGTTTTACTAGAAATCATCTCCTTTGTTTGCAAACTTGAATTTGAATGCATGGTGATGGAATTACAATTTAGGGTTGTATTTTCTCCTTCAAAACATCAAGAACTGAAGTCTTCCAGACCTAGGGTTCTCATTTGTGTGGTGTGGGAGAGGCTGGTATGTGTAGGGAGAGTGCCAGTTGGCTGGACAGGTTCCATGTGTAACCTGAATTACACTGCATAAAACCTTCTGTGTTCTCTGCTTCCTGCCTGAAACAAGAATGGAGGAAACTGGAATGGAAGGGATAATACCAGTATGTAACTGGAAGGAGAAAGTCTAAGCTTTGAGTCTAGGTCATTTACTTCTCTACTTCCAAATTGCTGCTTCTGCTCTACAACTGCTGCCACAGCTCCTTCTAAAGAGCACACTGATGCAGCAGCCTACCTAGGGATAGATCTTTTATGGTTCTTTGAGGGACTGCAACTGTTGCTCAGAGGAGTGGCAGTAATCACAAAGCCTGTCTGCTTTTCCCATGTGTTTTAAATTGTCAACTCCTGAGAAAGAAAATTATGATAGAGGGACTCTTCATCAGGGACTGTAGCGATAGGACAAGGGGTGATGGGTTTAAACTTAAACAGGGGAAGTTCAGGTTGGATATAAGGAAGAAGTTCTTTACTGTGAGGGTGCTGAGGCACTGGCACAGGTTGCCCAAAGAAGTGGTGAATGCTCCATCCCTGGCAGTGTTCAAGGCCAGGTTGGACAGAGCCTTGGGTGACATGGTCCAGTGTGAGGTGTCCCTGCCCATGGCAGGGGGTTGGAACTGGATGATCTTAAGGTCCTTTCCAACCCAAACCATTCCATGATTCTATGTTTGCCATCTGCATGAGGTATATTCTAGCCAATGTTAAAAAGTCAGTACTAGTGTTGTCTTTGAAACTGTTAAGTCAAAATGAGGTTCTGCCATTTTTTAGGAATAACTGCTAATTGTGAAGCCTTGTGGACTTGTTATTATCAAGTGTAACGGTGCATACTGACTTCTGCTCTTTTCTCTAGAGAAAGAATGATATTCCTGCTTAGATCTCTTAGCCTGCAGCTTTGCTATCTTGAATTGTCCATATGTAATTTGCCTTCTTTTTTCCCTAAAAGGTTGGCAGTGAAGTAGAAGCTCTGAATTTGCAAGTTTGTGCTCTGTTTAAAGAGCTTCAGGAAGCCCATGAGAAGTTAAAAGAAGCAGAATTGATTCAGAAGAAGCTTCAAGAAAAGTAAGGTTCAGAAGATTCTGCTGTGACACCTGGTATATATTTGTTTGACAACTCCCAGCTTGGGAAACTCACCAGCCCTACAAATACCAACTGAAATACCTGTTTCATAGAAATGCTGTAAAAAGATTGCTCCTTCTTTGTAAGTGGAGTTGAAAGAAATACAGTACTTGTCAGAAAGTCTGAGCTGCCAACCTAGTTCTACAAATAGAACCCCAGTGCCTTGAATGTTAAGATGTGGGTTTTAAGCCTTCCTGATATAAAGGCAAATCTTTAATGTTTTCTGCTCCACATAATCAATCCCTGTTCTAGTCTTAGGGGAAGAAGCTGAGGGACCTCATTTTGGCCCTTTCCACATGAACTGTCTGTGCTTTTGAAGACCAGTTGTGTAGGTTATAACAAGTGGTTACAAGACCCTCACTTTCATTGCTTAGTTTTCTGTCAAATTCCAGCTCTTTGAGATTCCTAATAGTAAGAAAGTATTAGTTTCAGTAGCTCTTCATCAAAATAAGCGTTTAAAGTGAACCATACAAAGATTCTTGTAATATGCCTGGCGTGGCAAATCCCTCAGGAAAAGGTGAACAGGAGAGATCAACCTCTTTTCCTTTTCAGGTGCCAAGTACTGGAAAGAAAGAGCTCGACTGCTGCAGCAGAATTGGAGGAGAAGCAGCAGCTAATATACACCATCAAGAAGATGGAACTTCAGGTGGAGAGCATGCAGGCAGAGGTCAAGCTGGAACAAGCCAAGACACATGAGGAGAAGTGAGTATGACTCGGTTTTATATTCCAGGGAGGTGGTGTCAGTGAGGAAGGGGAAGTCCAAGGGAAACTGGCCAAAGGGGAATTGAATCTGAAATACTAGTTTTGTGTTCTGCACCCTTTGAAAGCATGTTATATTTGTAGAATCTGAACTAGAAACCTGCATTCACCTCAGTGTCTATGTCACTTTCAATCTGGAGTCTCCACATTAGGCCCCAACTGTATTCTTTCATCTACTGAACCCTCACTTAGAAAATTTAAGCTGTAAGCTCCGACTTCTGTCTTCCTCTTGTCCTAAAGTCAAAGGTGGAATATGGTCAGGTATAACATACAAGTAGAGGAAGCAGAAAAGTGACATAAGCTGTCCCGCTCACTGGCAGGGGTAAACGCATCCACATGTTTGAGGGCAGGGACAAGTCAGGTGGTGACAGTGACAGGAAAGTGACATTCATGAAGAGGTCTGCAGTTCCTACAATGTGTTTTTAACTAGGAGAAGTAAGTGTGCAGTGAAGCTGAGGCGAAGAGACTCGCTCTTTGCTGTGGCTCCCTGCTCCCTTTCATGTGCAGTCTGTCTAAGAAGTGTGAAAATGTCAGTCCAAGCTGCACAGAGAGGCTGAACTTCCTGAAGGACCTGTCTTCAGCTGCTCATTATCTTTGGAGTCTGTGTCTGGTTCTTCTCCTCATGAATTCTCCTTCACTTGAAGTCTCTGAGTCAAGACTTGGATGTCTTCCTAAGAAAGGTGTTACATTTTGAACAGCATTTGTGAGCCTGATAAAAATACTGGTGTGATGGATTCTTCAATCTGAAATGCAGATGATCAGTAAGGACATTTCTTTGGACTTAGTCCATGGATAGAGCAGCACACAACTCGCTGGAAGAGGGATGTTGAGACACGGAGCATGATTTTTCTCTCATCAGAAATGCAGACTGATTTGCAAGGAGGTGGTGGTGGCTTTTTTCTTAAATTCTAACAGATTATTTAGATATCAAAGAATTTTGAAGTGTTTCAAACTTTCACCTCTCTTCTTGTCTTCAACAGGGCAAGGTACAGTAGCTTGCAGGATGCATATAGCAAAGTCCTTCCTGAACTCACTGAGGCAATGAGAACAATTGATCAGCTGAAACTCAAAGAGGTAAACTCAACACAAGAAGAAATCAGAATTAGAGGGAAGCGGGTAGGGATGGGAGGACATATCTAGGAACAAATTTGGGCAGTGGGAAACATCCTTTGCAGTGTCCTTTAGGGAGTTCTTTTAACTTGATACAATGTAGTTTGAAAATTCAAACCTAATCTTTAAAATGAAATATTGATCACTCCTGCTGTCTTAGCCCAAGTTCCTTTGATGTCCAAAGTTGGAAGCTTTTCCAAGGGCAGGAAGATAAAGAAGCAAACTTTCACTTCAAGCAGGGTTGTATTCTGAGTTTGTCTCATAATCAGAGTTCTTCCTTGCAGCTGGACAGAGTGGATAAAGTGGTGGTGGAGCAACTAACTGCAAAGGTGGAGCTGGCAGAACAAGCCCTTGCTGCAAAGCAGCTCCAGATAGATGAAATGAAGCAGATAATTGCTAAGCAAGAGGAGGACCTTGAAACCATGGCTGTGCTCCGTGCTCAGGTATCCATCAGCCCTTCTTCAGGAATTGGGTAGTTCCCCCACCCAGTATTCAGGAATACTGAATACTCTGAAATTCTGAATACTTTTCCTTAATTCTGAAGCATGATTCCCTTCCTCAGCCTGCCTTGCAGATCCCTGCAGAGCCTGTTCCACCATACCCTACTGTTCTGTAGGAGGAACTGTGTATGCTGGAGTCTGGCACAACAAACAAAAGTTGCAAATAGATGTGCGTTTAAAACCACAGTCTTAAGAATCACTGCATATGTTTTAGGGATGGTTTTACTCAAACCAGTGCGTGTGAACAGTGACTAAAAAGGGTCTGCCTAGCCTTTAAAGCACAAAACTGGCATCTTAGCCCGGTTCCACTGCCTATGCTGCAGATTTGTCTTGTCATGGGTCAAGTCACCTCCTCACTGCTTGCCTGTGCCGCATTTCTGCCTCTGTACAGCAGAGGGCAATAGCACTGTCCCCGATAAGACGCATGAAGTACCTTATCCAAAATCCACTGAGTCTTCTTCACCTTGTTAAGTAGTGCAGATCTTCACTTTGCAGAGTGTAAATGCTGTAGGAGTGTTTTGAGTAGATGCAGGCTATGATACAGGTTTGCTGTTTTGACAGTGGTTCATCCAAGTTACAAATTCTCAGCAGGATTTCATTTTTCTGATCAGATGGAGGTTTATTGTTCTGATTTCCATGCTGAGAGGGCAGCAAGAGAGAAGATCCATGAGGAGAAGGAGCAGTTGGCTGTCCAGTTGGCATACCTGCTGAAAGAGCAGCAAAACCTTGAAGATCTTAGCCGGTGAGAACAGACATTGGCTGAACTGCCTTTAGACTGTCTTGTTGAGTCCAAACAAGAAGAGTTTGGATTGTTCTTGCTAGCATCTCAGTAGAATGGCAAACAACTTTGCAGACATTTATTTCTTGCTAAATTTTAATTTTAAAATTGCCTGATTTCTCATTTTAGTTTTGTGATAGAATCTCTGAAAGGTGTATTGGTTCTTACTTGGGTGCCTTAGCAAGTTTTCACTTGGGATGATTCATGCTTGGTAAATTCTCCCTGCTGATTTTCATGTGAGTTTCTTTGGGTTCTGGCCTCAGTTTTAGTGGTGAATCTGCAGCTAAGCTTGCTGCATGTGTGCCAGGGGTATCTGCTGCTTCTCCAGGCGGCAGTGGTGAGTACCCATAGTTTCCAGTACTGTGAAACCCTGGAATTGCACCATTTTAGCACTCTAAGCTGCAAAAGAGACAAAAGAAACATTAACCATTTGTCCTCCACTCATGTTGTGAAAGCCATGGGTACAAGAGTACCCAGAATTTGAAGAATCAAGTTACATTTCACATAAAACTGTACACTGAACCCTTTTTTCTGGTATAACTTGCTTTTCTACTTTCATCAAATGTGCAGTTTGCCCTGAACAGCCGAGTCCTGGAGTTTTCCAGAGGAGCACTCCCCAGATCTCTGGGTGTGTAGCTGCCCAAATCCTGCTGGTATCAGTTGCATGGCCCTGATCTCAGCAGGATCCTGGCACGATCTCACAAAGCAGCAGCATTTCTAGGTTCTGGTTCTGAGCAGCAGTTGTGAACTAAATGCAGGACCAGTTGACATGATTTACTTGGAAATCCTTCGATTTATTTTGAATCCTCTCACCTTTTCTGGGGACAAAGGGAAGATACCTTTTGCTGAGTCTTTTTTCGAAGCCTCTGACTTCCTGATTCTCCACAGAAACTCTCTGGCAGAGATGCAGAGTCGTCATGGAGCCAGGGCACCGGATCGGGAGCACTCACCTCGCCTTGTCCAAAGAGGTACCATGAGCATTCTCCATCTCACAGGGCCAGGCCCTGCTGCATGCAGTTTAAAACAGCTTTGCTTGGCTGTAAGCAGCTTCCCAGCTCCTCTCTGGCTAATTCTGGCAACTGGGTAGCTGGGAAGAGCATGATTCTCTGGCTGCTAGGAGCAAGCCAGACCTCTTTCAACCACTCCATAAAAAGAGTGGAAAACACAACTAATGTAACAGGGAATCATTTTTCTTCTCTGCTTGCAGGAACTGCTAATCAAGACTGGCCAGAGCAGCGGAATATCTCAATATATTCATGTCCCAAATGTGAAGAAATTCTACCTGATCTGGACACGCTGCAGATTCACGTTATGGACTGCATTAACTGAGTGATGCCCTCCAGTTCTTCATCTTGTGAATTTCACCTGCCAAATACATTCTGCTTGAATAAAGCTCAACTCTACATCCCATGAAGGAGGTTTTCAGGGGTTTTCTCATGAATTCAATGGGAAAGGGTAAAATTCCTACCCTGCTCTTTACTCACTAATCTTGTTTTAATCTGCTTTAGGAAAAGAATTTTTATAGGTTAACATGGATGTGTTAAAGCAGTCCCAGTGTGTCTGCTGCTATGAAATCGTTAAGGAACATTCCCCTGATGTGCTCTGCTCTCATGGCTATCCTGCAGAATGGGGCTGAATCACTGAAGTCAGAAGAGAGATGAAATAGTTGCTGAGCAATTAAAAGAACTCTGAGGCTGTAAATACTTCACCTCTCATATAGTATCTATCAGAGAACTAATACATTTTAAAAGCTGATAGAGAAGCTTTTGGCAAAATGGAGTAGTGCTGCATTTATCGAGCATTTGAAATGAACCCTGCTCTTTCTCCGGATGGCAGCTTTACTGTTGTCCTTGTGACCATACTCGTCAGAGAATCACAGAAGGGTTTGGGTTGGAAGGGACCTTAAAGCTCGTCCAGTTCCAAGCCCCTTCCACTAGAGCAGGTTGCTCCAAGCCCCTGTGTCCACCCTGGCCTTGAACACTGCCAGGGATGGGGCCGCCACAGCTTCTCTGGGCACCCTGTGCCAGTGTCTCACCAACCACAGTGAAGAGTTTTTTCCTAATATCTTATCTAAATCTCCCCTCTTTCAGCTGATATTAATATGAAGTTAAATTTCTGATAGTTTACGTAACTTCTTGCTTTAGCCAGATGTGGGTAAGGTTTAAAACAGAACATTTACGTCTGATATATGTAGCTCCAGGTGTACCCAAGTCACTTGGTTTTATAGAACTGTTCATTTTTTAGGTGTTGTCTTGATTCTTCTTTCTTATAATTCATTTGCACCTGTACAGTGTCGTGCTAGAAAGCTCCGAGATGGATGTAATCTTATTTAATAAAAGAAGTATAATGGATTTTCACATCTCAAAAATAAATCTATTGCAAGTATAAAATTAGCTATGCCTGTGAATATTTTGGAGGCTGAAAGAGGACTGCAAATACCTATGGCTGAAAGCTCATATAGAAAGAACTGTAGTATGTTAGTTTTGTTCTTACCTTCCCTGGTGTTTTTATCATACCAAAACCCAGTTATTAACTTACCATTGCATACGGGAGGAAAATACACAACTCTTAACAAATATGAACCAGCATGAATGGTAGGAAACAACTGGAGCAAACTGCTGGGGTCAGTGCAAATGAGAAGTTTCATCTCTTGTGAACAGCCAATGTTTGTACTGCTTGAAACTGGCAGGGAGGGGAAGTAAAAGATGCAGGAAAACCTTCAGCCAAGATGGGTCTTCTTATGGCATCATCCTCCTGATGAAGAAAGTGGTGGTCACTTGGGCACTGCCCAGCTGGAAGGAAGTCTCCATATGGTTTTGGACTGACCTTCCAACCTTGAGGAAGGGAAAGTTCTTTATTTTTTAAATTTTATTTTTTAACTCCTGAGTTCAAACCTTGATTTCTGGAAGCAAACATGCCAGCACTCATTCCAATCCAGTAGTTACACCTGTGCCAGCTTGCTCTGCACTAGGTCTGTTAGGCTCAGCGAGGGGCATCAGCAAGATTTGCTTGTGCCCAGCCTGCTTCATGCTGATTGCCAGAATTGAGCTGGGTGTTCACAATGAGCAGGGTGGGATGATCACACAACCTCAGTATGGGAGTTCAATTTATTACTTCTTGGCTCACCTTTCTGCTTCAAAGCTCACATTATAACCAGCCTGAAATGTTTCATGAGTTGACGTTTTGCACACAAGTCTCAGAGGTGTTGGGTTGCCTGAATCCTCCTTCACATACAGGCCATGTGGTCTGTAGAAATGGAACACTTAGAAGGTAAAACGCAAGAGAAACCATGTTTTTAACTCAGCCCCTCTACTGGAGGAGGTTTATGTAAGGGGCAAAACTATAACAAAATGCAATTGTAATTAGTTTTTGCTTTTACAGTTGTAATGGCTTTTAACAAAAGATGGAGTGCTCTGACCCCAAAAACCTTACTCTAACCACTGGGTGTGCTTCTCTGGGGGACTCGGGGGTTAAGAAGTTGTTCAGAATAAAGGCAAGCAAGCAGGAATTTGTGTCTCTAGATTTTAGGCAACTGTATATTCCTAATGCAGAAAGAACTGAGCAGAAGGGGAAAGGTGAGGGAAATGTCTCTTGTGGAGATGGTCACTTAAAATCCCATTGGAGGACTGCGTGAACCATCGGCTTCCCACAGAACTAGCGTGAGTGAAAGCGTACAACCAACAGCAGCTGGTCCATGGCCTTTACTACTGACTTACTTCACAGACGCCTTTCACTTCCATAAATGCTGAATTCCAATTTTAAGAGAAATGAGCTAAAAGAAGTATGAATTTTTGTCATTGTTTGTCTTCTCTCCACTGTGCTCACAAGGAATTTGTGTAGATCCCAGGTCAGCACTTCACCTGGTGAGGAGAAGGCATATTCATGCACCTGGAAGAGGGGTTCTGCTTTGAGGGTGGCTGTTCTAGCATAACAGGGTACACGGAAAACTCCACTGAGCCACAGCTTCAGACCATTACCAAGGAAAAGAAATGAAGCCATGGCACAAAGCCCAAGCATTACTGCTGTTAGTGATGGCTAATGCAGAGCAGCGTGGCATTCCAGGTACAGGGGCAGGGAT